CATCTCTACAATAAATCAAAAATGAGCTGGGCGTGGTAGCGTGCACCTGTAGTTCCAGCTACTTGGAAGGCTGAGGCGGAAGGATCACTGGAGCCCAGCAGGTCGAGGCTGCGGTGGCTGGGAGCGGCCACTGCACTCCAGTCTGGGTGACAGAGTGAGACTCCAACTCAAAAAAAAAAAAAGAAAAAGAAAAAAGAAATACGGTACTGAGGCCAGGCACGGTGGCTCAAGCCTGTAATCCCAAGCACTTTGGCAGGCTGAGGTGAGAGGATTGCCTGAGCCCATGATTTCAAGAACAGCCTGGGCAATTTGGTAAGACCTCATCTCTACAATAAGTAAATTAAAAAAAAAAAACAACGGGTGTGGTAGCACGTGCCTGTAGTTCCAGCTACTTGGAAGGCTGAGGTGGAAGGATAGTCCGAGCCCAGCAGGTGGAGGCTGCGGTGGCCCTGAGCGTGTCTCTGCACTCCAGCCTGGGCAACAGGGTGAGACTCGGACCTAAAAAATAAAAAGAAAAGAAATACGGTACTGAGAACAGTAGCAGACTGTTTATAGAATGCACATTTAGGGTGCAAATACAGAGATGTGTTTTGAAAGAGGCGCTTGCCTTTATGAAAATCGATTAGCTTGTTTAATACCTGTTTCACAGGATAAAGCAAATTGATAACACTTTTGTCATTGTTAAAGCGTGCTAAGTTTAATGAGGTCAAGTATTGTTTCATTCTTCTTTCAGTTATGAATAGCCATTTTTATAAATTGTGGGATCCCATCAGTTTTGTCTGATTTATTCTCCCTACCCCATAGTGGAACACAACATTTTAATTCTCCCAGCATAAGTTAGTTGAGCCGGGTGCAGTGGCTCACGCCTGTAATCCCAACACTTTGGGAGGCTGAGGCGAGAGGACAGCCTTGAGCTCGGAGATTCGAGACTAGCCCGGCCCATCTGGCGAGGCCTCATTTCTATAATAAATCCCAAAAAAAAATTAGCCGCGGGTGGTGGTGTGCGCCTGTAGTTCCAGCTGCTTGGAAGGCTGAGATGGAAGGATCGCCTGAGCCCAGAAGGTCGAGGCTGGGGTGGCCGTGAGCATGCCACTGCACTCCAGCCTGGGCGACAGAGTGAGATTCCGAGACAGACACACACACACACACACACACACACATGTTAGTTGAAAATACTTTCTGGAAAAAAAAACAACAACCCGCGTTTCACCACAATCACTGGACAGGAGCGGCAGCGCACAGACACCCCGAGTTTCCAGGCTCTCCAGAATCCACCTTCTGTCTACCCGGGTTCCCACCGCTCCCGGCCCTAGCCACACACCCCCGGCCCCACCCACGACGCTTTCCTCCAACCTTCCTCCTCCTTCCCTGCTCTCCCCGCCCACTCTCCCGCCCACCCAGGAAGCCCCGTCCCCTCCAGCTCCGCAACCCAACTCCGTCTCTCGGGCCTTCGCTTTCCCCTTTCCCCGCCCCCATGGCTGCCTGCGATTGGCTAGAACAGCAGGAATGCAGCACGGTCCCATTCTTATTGGCTAGGCGTACGCCGGGATCCTCGTGATTGGCTGGTACGGGGTGGGCAGCAAGTGTGGCTGCGCTCGGGGTGTGTGGACGCCGCTTTGTTGCCCGAGGGGGTGGTGGTGGAAGTTAAGGGGTTCGGGGGCTAGCGCTTCTTGGGGCCCGCACGTCGCGGCCGCTCTGCCTGGTCGCCTTGAGCGTAGGAGTCGCGCCGACGGCAGCCATGAGCGGCGGCGTGTATGGGGGAGGTGAGTGAGCGCGGCCGGACGAGAGAGCGCGCCTTTTCGGCGTACGGGG